ATTTCAGTATGAAGGTGCTGCAAAAGAAGGTGGTAGAGGACCAAGCATTTGGGATACCTTCACTCACAAATATCCAGGTTTGTCCAATCAAATCATCAATTAGTTAAAATAACAAAATCGTGCTACTTTAACTCTTATGCTCTAAATAAATAAATTTTCTATGATTAATTGCAGAAAAGATTAACGATAGCAGCAATGGAGATATCACTGTTGATCAATATCACCGCTATAAGGTTCATGACCTAATGTGCACATATTAAATTTTGAAGCATGAAGAAAACTCATCACATTGAAGATGCTCCCGATAATTTTTATCTGATTTCTTTTTTGTTATGCACTGTAGGAAGATGTGGGGATTATGAAGAATATGGGGTGGGATGCTTATCGATTCTCTATCTCATGGTCAAGATTGTTACCAAGTAAGTTCACTTGTGACCAATCGTCAATATTTCTGCCTTCATGGTTTTCGCTTAAGTAATGTGTCCAAGTTGTCTACCGAACAACATAACATTTTTTTTTGGGTGTCAATTAAAATACTTAATTGAAATAACTTAAGCAAAAATAATTTTTTTTTCAAACATAAATTAAATAGAAGTCGAAGTTCAAGTTGGATAACATATAGTCCAACTTTTTTAAAGTTCAGTTTAAATGTTATCGGTGCACTTATTTCTTTATTTTCTGGTTTTGTTTTAATTATTAGATGGAAAGTTAAGTGGAGGAGTGAACAAGGAAGGAATCAAGTATTACAACAATCTCATCAATGAGCTCTTACGCAATGGTGAGTCATCCCACCTTACATGATCAATAATTTATACAATAAGAGTTACATGCACTCATAAAAAAAGTCATTTTGTCAAACTTATACTTCGCTTTTATTGACGATGCTATTTATAGGTTTAACGCCATTTGTGACACTCTTCCATTGGGATCTTCCCCAAACTTTAGAAGATGAATATGGTGGTTTCTTAAGCCCTCATATTGTGTAAGTGAAGAAATTAGTCCTTTGAGTCGTATTGATAATTTAATTAATAAATACAATTATGACATTTACATTCTGAAATGTGTATATACAGCAATCATTTTCAAGATTACGCAGAACTTTGTTATAAGGAATTTGGTGATCGAGTAAAGCATTGGAGCACAGTGAATGAGCCGTATACCTTCAGTAACAATGGTTATGCACTCGGGTCCCTTGCGCCGGGACGATGCTCCACTTGGCAGCAGCTAAACTGCACCGGCGGAGATTCATCTACTGAACCATATTTGGTAACACACCACCAGCTCCTTGCTCATGCAGCTGCTGTAAAATTGTACAAGAATAGATACCAGGTACAATTAATTAGTTTGTTGCAACAAGAGAGCGGCTACTTTACCTTTTTGTGACTCTAAAACAAACAAACTAAATGTTCTTGTGCAGGCATCTCAAAATGGAGTGATAGGGATAACACTGAATTCA